TGCTGGAACTGGTCGGAGGTCGAAAAAAGTGTTTTTGAACAAGCAAAGGCGGCTCTTTCCTCCTCATCTGTCCTTGTTCATTTTGACCCCGAAAAGCCTATCATACTGAAATGTGATGCGTCTCCGTACGGCGTAGGTGCGGTTCTCATGCACCGAATGCCTTCTGGTGCAGAGATTCCGATTGCCTTTGCATCAAGAACCATGTCACAGGCGGAAACCAACTATTCGAAAGTGGATAAAGAGGCCTTGGCAATAATGTTTGGCCTACATCGCTTCCACCTGTATCTTTTTGGCCGACTCTTTGAGATCCACACTGACCACAAATCCCTCTTAGGTATGCTGGGAGAAAAACGAGGGATACAACAGATGTCCTCGTCGAGAATGCAACGATGGGCACTCACCCTGTCTGCTTACATGTATGCAATGAAATACGTTACAGGTAGTGCAAACGTAGTGGCTGACGCCTTGAGTAGGCTTCCTATTGTGGACGATGGCATTAACGGGGCACCTGTTTTTGAGACCGTAAATCTTTTGCAGAACCTAGTCAACGCACCTGTAACCTGTCAACATATTCGACAGTGGACGTCGAGAGATCCTTTCCTAAGTCGGTTAAAAAAGCCTTGCAATCTGGCTGGCCGTCCTCTACCTCCTCTGATTTTCAACCATTCTTCAGCCGTCAGAACGAGTTAAGTCTACAAGACGGATGCATACTATGGGGCAATCGTGTAGTTGTGCCACCACCAGAAGGCCTTACCGAAGGTTCCTCTGAAGCCTTGGGTCTGGCCCGACTCGCCGTGGAAGAGGGTACACGTCGATTATTTTGGGCCATTCCAAGGCCATATGGTTTTGGTGGTAGTTGACGCCCACACTAAATGGATTGATGCGATTCCGACAGGAAATTCTTGTTCTTCCCTGACTATAATCAACAAGTTGCGAACCGTTTTCTCTTCTCTTGGGATACCTGAAATGCTCGTTTCAGACAATGGCCCAGCCTTTACTAGTGCAGAATTTAAAGATTTCATGGAGATAAATGGAACTAAACATTTAACGCACCACGCTGCTTCTAATGGCCTCGCAGAGCGTGCAGTCCAGACAATAAAGCACGGACTAGCCAGACAGACAGAAGCGGACTTGGCCACTAAGTTGTCATGCTTTCTGTTCAGCTATCGCATAACAACAAACGACTCAACGGGTGCTTCGCCTGCAGAACTGATGTTCAAGCGGCAGTTGCACACACGACTGGACTTGCTTAATCCATCAACGCATGAAAGAGTCATTGCAAAACAGACGAAAATGAAAGCACGATATGATGTGAACACCCGACCACGAGTCGTTGGGCCAAACGAAAGTGTCTACATGAGACTGGAACACGAAACAAACTGGTGTCCAACGGTTGTTCGATTAAGCAAGGGGCAAACAGTGGAATTAGAGTTAGAAGATGGGAGAATTGTGCGTCGGCATCTGGACCAAGTTCGCAGCCGAACAGACACAGTAAGTGGAGAGTTCGGAAAGTTCGAACTGCCAGCAACCCTTGATAGGGATCCTGGCATTCCGAGGACTGAACACGTACTGCCTGCACAGAGCCCTACGCCACCGGCCGAGGCGTATGTTCCTCTCCTCCTTCGACCCCGGCCAGCACTAGCTTAGGGGCAGAGGAGCCAGTGACTGCACAAGGCGGCGCAGAGGTAGAAAATACCGCCATGAGAAGATCGACCCGAATCCGCAAACCTGTCCAACGCTTTCAGGACGAATCTTATTAGAACATTGCCTAACTATCCACTATTACCTTTACTGTTTCCCCCTCCCCTCCTCCTCATGCTCTCCACTTTAGGGTGGAGGGATGCAGCGTATCCTGCCCGGGCCGTCAGGAAATCATGCCACAAACGCGTGACAAGCGAACGATCAAGGTCATGACCCCCTGTTCACACCGTCTTTGTGCTGATTGGCCACCCATCAGCCTATGACAGTCCCCCTTGCCATATACCCAGCCGTTTCCTTAAGCCTCCTCACTTGTGCTGTCTATCGTACTCAGTACACGTCCCATTTCCAACTACCCTTCTGTTTTGCATACATAACAATCCTCTCCATAACTTCGCAGAAAATGCATGTCAAGCTTTTGAGCCTGTAATTTCTCGTCGATGTCCTGCTATCTCCTTTGTATTTGGCAAGAGAGGGCGTCTTATGAACACCCGATGACGTTGAACACTAGAACGACAGCCAGACTTAAATACTGGAACAATAAAAACAGTTTTACAATAGTGAAAAAGAAGCCGTTCTGAAAAAAATATTGAAAATAATTTGCTCAGCACAGGGAGGAAAATTCCTAGTTGTTTAATAAGAGTTTTCGGTATGCTGTCAGTTCCTACTGAGTGCGAGTTAGTAAGCTAGCTTATCATTTTCAGAAAACTTACAGGAGCGAAATTGATGGTGGTGGGGAAACATCAAACGACGGAGGAATTGTGGGTTTGGGGTCGGTTTCAGTGGTAAAGCGAATGGCAGAGAATAAATGTAACAGTTCTACTTCTCCCGGATCCTTTTTAATGAAGGTATTATTGCGATTAAGCAAAGGCGGAATGACTTGATGGAACGTAATTTACGGTCTTTGACGGAAGACCTGAGCAACAGATCTAGGACTCGCATCACTAATAGCTAAAGACTATCTACGCCTATCTCGCGCGAGCCTCATTCTCGAAGCTAATTCGAATATTTCGAAACAAACGTCAGTCGACTACGCTTGATGCTGACTGCACACAATTTCATGTATAAATACAAATATTCATTAACAGGGCTACCAAGGTCTCCGCCTGTAACCCTCCAAGAGTTCGTGCGTACCCCACCGTAGGCCAGTTCAGAATTCATATTCTACTCGCAGTTTCAGATTTATTTAAGGACTTTTCAGATTGTGCTCTGTCCACTTCGGCTAGGCGGTCTTCATAGCAAGTCCGAACAACGAAAATTATAAAAACTTCTACATACTATTGTGAGGCGGCTAAGGCCGCAACTTCAACGACATACGCCGTCAAGCCAGCATTTACAGTTTTAGTCAAAGACTGCCTCTCCAAATTCTTTGGTGCGCTTTTAAGGTCTCGTCTTATGTACGTGACCCATGTCTGGAGACATCAAATGCAGCAGGATTACGAACCGCTCAAAAGGGCCTTAATGTCAGCCACCAATGTGGACAAAGTTCAAGCAGCATTGTCCGCTGACGTAAACTAAACTGCGCGAGAACACGACACAAACTTTTCATATTTTGCGTGGTTTAAACTGCAAATTCCTCGGGAAAAACTTCTTCCAACTCGGCAGTACCATCGAACTCCGGAGGCATAACCTTAAAGTATGTGTGCCCACGGGAATTCTTGGTGTGAGAATTTACTTCTCTCAAACCTTGTAGTCGAATTATGGGATAACCTGCCCAGTGCGGCTATTAGGTCTTAGTCTGTGGAGACACCCAAACATTATTTTGACAGGCATGTGGCAGTTCGCGTCTCCTTGCCCTCCGCCTTTGTCACGCGGCCTTCCTGTTTGCCTCACAATCCCTGTCGATCCTCTGCTGGGACGCGCGTGGCTTATCATTAGCCTCGCGAGCGCTCCAAGCCAATCAACGCTGTCCATCTTATGATTGGCTGGCGGACGCTAAGACAACGAAAAGCGCACACACGCGCTGAGTCTGAGCACCGCGAAGGCGGACACAGACAACAACTGGTTTGGAGAGCGCCCTCGGGACGACTGCTTGCAGAGCCTTTGCATACGCACTTCCTCAGCACTAAAGGTGGTCCAAACCAATACGTCTTAAAATTCATTTCAGTATAATTCAGTATATTCAATAGCATTCAGTCTTGCCTGACTTCTGATTTGGGAATATTTGACTTGTCAACGATACCACTTACGACAGGCACATGCTGCAGCAACAAACGAACTATGTGACTACTTAATCACTACACATATGTACTCATAAGAAACTAGGCCCTGTCCCACTTGGCATTGTAACTTCCTTAAGTTGCTACCAATCCTTCTACTTTGCGTGTGACAAATAGACAGTTCAGAGGCGTAAGTCTAGTTACACCATATACATTGAATTGAGCCGGTGCCTAGCGACTTCCCACTGTCGTTAGTTACATATTTCCATCAGTCGGCCAGATGTGCATTGGGTTCTCCGACACCCATAAGTTCTTTCTTGGTTGCAAGTCAGAGAGGTTTCCTGATATAGAAAAAAAATAAGTGTAAAAATAACAGAACACCGTCAATTTGAATTTTGAAAATCCAGCAGTTAAGAATTGTTGTGTTAACTGGGGAGCGAGATCTTACGATGTTGACATCAGAGCACACTCAATTTCCCAGACGGTCTTTTTGGAAAATAAAAGCGCATTGACGTGAACTACTGCAAAAATTATATATTTAGAGTCTGTCTGCTTATGGGTCCGTATTGCAATCAGTTCCTGGGAAAATGACATATTACATTCCAAGCCTGTTTATGTTAGCACAAATTCTGGTGAAGACAGTATAGGTCTTTAGTTAAGTTGACTAAACCTCCTTAAGGACTGTTCTGACTGAATTTGGGGAGGGTAGATGAGTGGAAGGCATTTTACCAACCTAGAAAATGTGCTGAATTTATCCCTTAGGTGCTCATTAAAGAAACTCAGGAAGCTTCAGGATAGTCTCCGGAAGAAGTTAAAACAGTGCAGGACAACGTAAGGATCACCTGTGTGGCCTAAAAAAGGCTAAATGTAGACTTTATTTGCATATAATCATAGGAATCCAAATTACGTGTGCGCCGCACTTGTGCTGTTGTTATAATGCACTACCGTGTATAATTCCGGATATTTACTTCTAGAACCTCGATTTCTGAGCCTCATCCGTGTTATTTAGAGCCTCGTGCACGCTGGCCAATAAACTCAGAGGCCGTTATCATTTATAGGGACGTCTACGTTAACGGACCAATTGCAGTGAGGGCGTTACGTGTGCTACTTTGTGTACCTTCACTCCTCACCCTCTCACACGTGATGTCCACTTCTCTTGATCTGAAGAACCAGGGTAATGCTGCCCTAAGTCAGGGCAAGTATGACCAAGCAATAGAATTCTATACTTCGGCAATTAAGCTTGACGAAAAAAATCACGTTCTCTACAGCAACAGATCCGCAGCCCACGCCAAGGTCGGACAGTACGAGGATGCTCTGAAAGACGCAGAAAAGTGTGTTTCACTGAATCCTACATGGGCCAAAGGGTACAGCAGGAAGGGTGCAGCCCTAGAATTTTTGGGACGCCTTAAAGAGGCTGAGGAGGCATATTTGAAGGCTATGGACTTAGAACCTTCCAATGAACAATTTCAGGAAAGTGCAATGAACGTGAGGGCGCGGATGGCGCTTGGCTCCCTTCCTGCTAGGGTGGCTGCCCATCCTGTCTTAAAGGAGTATCTAAAAGATCCGGATTACGTAGAGAAGCTGCGATCACTTCAGGAAAATCCGGCCCTTCTGCAGTTTCTGATGAAGGATTCCAAGATCAAGGAGACCGTCTTTACTCTTTTTACTGCCCAGGAGCCAATGGACGAGTCCTCACCTCCTCCATCACCACCCAAAAAGTCAGAGCCGAAGCCGAAGGAGCCTGAACTCGCGGATGAGGAGAAAGAAGCCCTAAAGGAGAAGGAATTGGGGAACGCGGCATATAAAAAGAAAGATTTCCAGACTGCCATCTCCCATTATGACAAGGCATTCGAGCTTGACCCTAAGAACATTACCTTCCTGACGAATAAATCTGCTGTCTACTTTGAGATGGGTGACTACCCGAAGTGTATTGAGGTTTGCGAAGATGCAGTCTCTAAGGGTCGTGAGCTTCGTTCAGACTACAAGCTTATCGCGAAGGCGTTCGCTCGGATTGCTCATTGTTATGAAAACCAGGGAGACTTGCAGAATGCCAAAAAATACTACGACAAATCACTCTCTGAGTTCCGAGCCCCAGATGTAATAAAGAAATCACAGGCTTTAGATAAGAAGTTGAAGGAGATGGAGCGCCAGGCATACATCAATCCGGAGCTCGCGGAGGCGGCCAAACTTGAAGGCAACAAAGCGTTTGAGGCGGGCAACTATCCTCTTGCAATGAAACACTACACTGAGGCCATAAAGCGGAACCCCGAAGATCCCAAACTATACAGTAACCGCGCTGCATGCTATACTAAGCTCATGGAGTTTCCTTGTGCGTTAAAGGATTGTGAAACCTGCATATCCCTGGCTCCCGACTTTATCAAGGGGTATCTCCGGAAAGCTGCCTGCTTAGTTGCCATGAAGGACTTAAACCAGGCGCGAAAAGCCTACAGGTTAGTCTATTCGCTACGTTCTTCATAGTAGAAGTCATGAGTCAAATTTTATCTGTTTTCTGATGGGCTTTCTGAAAGTCATTTTTCTTGCATGTGTTTGGTAGACTGAAAATTGATCGAATGTAGTAGCTGCTCGCACCTCAATGCTTTGTTATGCTCTTACTGTTCACTTCTTGCTTCAGGTGCTCTTGAATTTGCCGTTCTTTTTCCGCTTGTTTGAAAAATTACAATTTAGAACGCCGACTCTCACCAAACTAGCGACGCAAGTTGGGGTGTGGTCACCTGACTGCACCTTATTGCCTTTTCGGGACCTGCTAGTTCGTCTTAAGATGCCGACTGCCCTGGCTTGCAGTTGGTATATACCTTCCTGGCCATATGAGGGGCGTTAGCCGATGAATAAGCCAAGTGTCACATGCCTGAATTCAGAGTGAAGTCCGTTAATGATCAATTCAGTGACAAGCCTCAGCACCGGTGTCGACTGTCTGGTGATATTCACCTTATCCCCATTACTCCAACTATCCCCTAATCCACATACTGCTTTCTTCTTTCGTATCCGCCCTTCCGGTTTATTTTCACCTCCCCATGTCACTATGCGTCATGTGAGACGACAGCCTGTACCATGGGGTCATAACTTACTGGCGACAGCACCTGTCGTGGTTTGGCCACTTCGGTGGCACACGCATCGCGGACTGTCACGACGCGCGCTTTGCATCTGACCACAAAGCTGTTAAAACTTTTTGTGCTGTTGGAGTTCCAGTGTTGATTAACGACTTTAGCTGACCATCGCTGCGGTCTGATTATAGTCCGTGCTTGATATATGAACTCTATAGATCAGACTAGTGCATTTTCTATGGGCGTTTGTCAGTTAGGTCGAAATTATATTTTCATCATCATCTCGTTCTAGCAAAGAACATAGGCTGTGTAGACAACACATAATATCGGGGACGATTTGTGCGCTTGTAGCTGTTGGATCCTAGACACTGCTGTTCCACACGTCGCAAGTATTTTGCTTATTTAACCGAGTGACTCGACTTTGCGCATAGATGCATTTTTTCCGCCGTCAAATTTTACACGATCCGTTCTCTATAGAAAAGCCCTTGAGTTGGAACCGACTTGTGAAGAAGCTCGGCAGGGTCTGATCCAGTGTGCCACCTCCGAAACTGACCCAGAGGCAGCTCGACAAAGGGCTATGTACGATCCGGAGATCAAGGAGATCCTCTCTGACCCTGCCATGCGTATGATACTCAATCAGATGGAAGATCCCGACGCCATGAAGGAGCACCTTAGCAATCCAGAAATCGCATCAAAGCTGATGAAGCTGATTGACGCAGGCATTGTTGCCATTCGCTGATACCGGTGTTCTAGTTCATTGCCTTTCGAAATCGCGTTTCCTTATCATGAATAAAGTTTTTTAAGATTCTGCGCCCATTACATTTCATTATCTAACGGATCTTTCTTCTGACTCTAGCATTGGTTTTTTCCACACCTGTGGTAGCACAACCTGTAAATTACGTTTTATGGTCGGTTCCAGAATATCGCCATTGGGGTACTGCATTTTCTGGGCAATTCGACATGTCACACGCCAACCGTGAGCGTTCTGAAAGAGATGTCACCGCTGGTCTACGACGTTTCCGCCACACCTGAAGGGTTATTTAGCTAGCGGCTGTCTCATTATCTGCCACTTGTAGAAATGCCGAGTTGTTGGCAGGTAAGTTAAGCTAACAGGTCGCCCGTTTGATTTTTACCCCGGTGATCAGTGGAGAGGGGTGTTGGCAAAGACATTTGCGTTTGATGATTCGATTCGCAGCACATCTGGGACGTCAGCCGTAAATACGGTTCGAGGAGGTTGGAGTATCGCAGGTTCCGAGACCACAGTGCTGTACGCGCGGCCGGAGTAGGTGACGCTGTGCGTGTGTGCCGTTGCACTGTGTTGGTGGGTGTACAGGTGGTGCTTGTTTTTCTCTAACTGATCAATGTGCATGTAGTTCCTATTTGTTTGGTACAGCTGTTATCATGCCTGACTGAGCCGACCTGGTGAGCCGCGCATTCCCATACGTGACGATTTGCGGCAGTGGATCCAGAGACCTCGGCTTATCCTCTTTCAGTGACAAAGACCGAATGCCGAAGGTCCGGTACACACGGGGTTTTGTTGCGATGGAAATGCCTCGTTGGGCTCATAGATACCTAATGATTGTGGTAACCCTGCAGTCATCATTTATCCAGGAAATAGTGGTGCACTTGCCCTCTCCCTCTTCGGTAACAGTCTCGTCCCGAAGTTTTTGAGACTGTCTACTCCATGTTGACAGTCACTAATCCTGAGGGTTGCCTTCTAGTTGGACATGCATCCAGAAACTTGACTTCCCGGTGTTTATGGATAAACTGACCGATTTAGCGGCTTCATTCACCCGCGACACCGCAGACCGTCACCAAAGCCTGGGACCAGCAGGGCGAAGTCAGCGTAGTCGAGATCTGTCGGCGCCTGCATGCAGACTCGACATCGTCAGAGCTCTGTATGACCCTTCTGATAATCCAGTCAATGTCGGAATGGGTGACAGGGTACGACCCTGTCGAACGGCAGACCGAATATCGAACGGTTGGGAGAGATTACCATGGACCGGAACTCGCGCAGCGGTGGAGCGATAGTGGGTCATGATCACGGCGATGGTTCCTACGGCCACGTCGTCTTGTTACATTACCCGTCACAGTGACTCACGATGGCCGGAGTCGAATGCTGCAGTGAAATCAACAAAGCAGGCGGCTGTCGGTTGCAGGTAGTCATGGGGAAATTAAAGAATGCGCTGCAATATGGTTATCATGTCCTCATGTCTAAGCCTAGTTCGGAATGCGGCCTTGTTGGGTGTTGTCCTCTAGTCACGCACACCGTGAGGTCGCCCTAAGAGGACAACGGTGAGGACCTCCACAGAAACGTCGATAAGGCTTATGTAACGGCAGCCCACACATCTTCTTGTCCCCCTTGAAGACAAGCACAAAGTTGCATGGGCTCCGGTCAGCGGGAACCACTCCGTCCTCACACGCTTGTCCAATCATTACGGGGCCGGAGTATTGACAAAAGACTTGTAGATTCCAGCGATATTACGGTCCGTCTCGGGCGCCTTTTTGTACGACTTTATTGCATCTGCGACTTATTACTGGGAGGAGGATGGGTCGTATGACACTTTTATAAGCTGGAGAGACAAACTCCGCCGAAGGGAAGGGGGGAAGTGTGGTGGTCAGGTCATAGAAGTCTAGAAGTTACTTGAAGTCGTCGCGCCGACACTCGACCTTGACCGAATTGTCAGCAGTAACGCCACGGTTCACGTCGCGAAGTCGCTCAGTATAGGGGACTTGCAACTAACTTGGCGGGTAATCTGGTGGCCTTCGGGTGTTGACGACGTAGGCCTGCTCCATAGAGGTCGCCTTTTCAGCTAAGGGAGTTTTGTGACTACCTCTGGTCGAAGTATTTTTCCGTAGATAGCGGAAAATTCCGTTGTTGCGGACCCGGCTCGACCTGCCTGGGTAGACAACTGCAGGGTTCCTTCACTGGTCTGGTAACTGTAGCGCTTCTGGATGACTCTAGAAAACTTCCAAGCTACCTTAGACGACCGTTTGTTGCAACCTTCTACCTTCTGCTAACGACCTCTACTGTGTATTGGTTTGTCGTAGTTGTGCGACATCAAGGCACCGTGCACTTGGCGGTTTTTGTGCGTATGAGAGGTGAGCTTTCGGTCGTGTGTGAACGAAAACACGGTCCGACCCACAGACGTTACCAGTTTCGGTACTACACATCGATCTGTTATTGTGAACCTGATTGCGAACTTTGAGCCAAATAGAATGTAGTCGATATGACCGGTCGCATGATCGTTGCTTGAATACCGGGACGGCAGATGCCTGTGACGGTGTTGGAAGCGCGTGTTGGCTGTAAATAGTCGGTTCAGGTAAGCAAGATTCGGTATTCCTTCACCGTCAAAGAGCAAGCCTAAAGCGTCCAGTAAGTTTAATGTTTGGAGAGTCGCGAGGTCCAGTCCGTCCAATCCAGCCCTCGGCAACAGTCAGCGGCGAGAGGGTTTGTCAACTAACTCTTTCAGTTGTTGGTAGGGTTCTCTACCGCGATAATGCGCAGCTGGTGTTTGTGCAGCCGCACAGCGACAGCATACGAACGAGAACGCGGTGGGGGGTTGGGATGCCCATTTTCGACTATTTCCGCGCCCCAGCGAAATCGCACGATCTACCTACCCCTCTCTTCCTTTGTGTCAGTTGTTGTTCTCGCTCGAGCCCCATAAGACAGGGAGCCCATGGGTCTAATACTGGCACATTTTACAGAGCGCGGATTGGTACCTCCGCGTTAAATTCTACGGAGGTGGGGTGAAAGCCGAAGCCAGAACACTGGGATAAGTGTCCCTCTGAATTTGGCGCAAAACCAGATGTAATACGGAGGGGGTACCAATTGCCTTGTCCAAACACGAAAGAGTCCGGACTCCGGCCACCGGATCATCAAGGCTTGACCCTGAGGTACGGCTAACCAACGATGTTCGTCAAGCTAGACATGGCCGCTGCAGTTTCCCGCCGCCCCTCGAGGGCCTTCCGCGTCCGGCGCGGAACTCGCTTGCCAGCACTGCAATATCGATCGGCATTTTTGCCCTCGATGATCGACCACAGCCGAGTAAAGCACGCGCCGGGGCTGAAAATTTCAGCGACCAGCTCTCAGCTCGGCGCAGCACTTGCTGTCGTTGCTATCCGAGCTGCTTTTTACGTTCCATTTACGTTCGACTTGGAAAGCTTTTTTGTTGCCGGTAGTCAATCAACAGTCCAGCAAGTTGTTTTGTCCTAAGTCTTGTTTTCGGCGGTTCATGGACCGGAAAATTTTGGGTGAAACTTGCCTTCGAGAGGGATCAGCGTTTACTGGGATGGTTGTCGGGTGTCCGACGTTCTAAAGAGTGATTTAAATGCAGTTGTCGCGATACAAGGCTGTGACCACTTAGCCTGTCAAACAGAAGGATGGCTGTCAGAGGACGGTGCAGTCGGTCGTCGTACTGACCCGCCGCCGCCTCGATGGCTTTGCGGTCCCCGAATGGCAGAACATAAATGTCTTAGAGAACTGCGTGTTTATGGTCACAGGGGATACTGAACAACCTACACACTTCACGTAAGATATGTCAGGTTCCGGCTTTCACAAGCTCGCACCCTCAAGTCGGGTAAGAATCATACCTGAATGACATTTAACCATTCAACATTTTGCAAGAAATGAAAACCGCAAATTGTTCCTTCCAGATCAAACACGCGGATGGGCAGCAAATCTCAGCTTTTCTCTCTCCTCATGAATTAATGCACTAACTAGAAGTAAATAATTCGGAACGAGGCCTTATAGACTCAGGCCGAAAGTTGGTATGAACGTTCGAGCCAAAATCCGTCGGCACTGGCGGGGCGACCACGAAATGTAAGCTACTAACAGTTAGCCATCAGTATAAACATGTTGCATGTTTTACCGTAGGGGAACACAGGTATTAGTCAGAAGCGCTATCCTCGCAAATGCAGCTGGATGCAAGCGCTGACTGGTTTCCAAAGAGGCTTCTAGAGTCACTTATAAGGTCCTATCGAACTATTCGATGGCACTTCGGTTGTCGTAAGCGGCGATGTCCACCGTGTGCCTCATGACGAGGTGGTCGCGGGGACAGTGACTGTCGTGTGAATCAGTTTATACTGGTGGCAGACTTTCGAAGCATCTACCTCACCCTCTCCTTCCTCACCTTCCTGGGCCTGGTATCAGGAAGACTGGGGGCGAGGTCGAGATTAGTGGCCGACAAAACCAAAAAGTCCATCTACGTGTGCCACACAAGATCTGGGTTCCTCTTTATGAATCAGCTCTCCACATGGAGAGGGCGACTCTGACCCCATTTGAGTAATAGTGCCAGGAGCCACATTAGGAAGGAGCCATTGCAGTCTGACCCTTTGACCGAGTTATTCCGTCAACTGGCAACCTCCCCAGCCACGGCTTTTAGCGCATCGTGATGGACTATAAGTGCATCCGAGTTTTTATAGTGAGAAAAGCCGTGGGGACGTAGTCTCCAGAGTTGAGCTAACTCTCTATTCTTTCGCCCACGCACCAGTCCTCTATCCGAGTCGCTCAGCCATCTGATGCTGATGTTTATTTTACCTAACACTTTTGGGGCACACGCACTAAGCAAGTATTTGCTTTTAGCGTGTGAAACCACAAATGAAGGCTGCGAAGAACTTCGTTCGAGAGCTAGGATTCTACAATGCATGCGTTAACTACGTCGAGGCTGAACCAACATGGATCAAAAGAGTTCGCTCAGCGAATGACGAGTTTCGATTTATGCTTCTTATGACCCTCCT